AGTATACCAGTGACCTAGGTCAGTGACCTGTTCTTTGGACAATTCAATGGACCTATCACATTATTACGTCACAGTTTGTTTACCTGTTTTAAAGAGAATTCTAGAACGGTCAGTTAAAGAATAAAGATCATTTCAAAGGTTTCAAAGTCAGGTATGTTTGATTTTTGCTGCATCTAGTTTTGTTGACACAGCATTACATGCCATATGGGTGATTTAGTTGTGACAGTAGATGAAAGTAGTATATGTACATGTAACACTACACAAACACACACACCTGTACAAATTATATAGATATTGATTGATGGCAAACTGTGACGTAATAATGTAACAGGTCCATTGAGACAACAAAAGAAAAGGTACAGAAAAATGTAATACTGTCCTTTAACCTTAACAACTTACATGTAGTTGTATAGGTCTAAGACTTGATTAATCCATTCAAATTTTACAAATGGGAATTTAGAGTCCTCAATGTATAGGAGATTGGAATCCCTATCTCCCCTAGGGGAGACTGGAATCCTCCTACTAGGAGAAATTGGAATCCTGATATTCAGATCCCAATTCAGTAGTAGAAATACTAGAACTCATAGATTGAATCGTTTTCACACCTCAACCAAGGACATTATACACAGAATATAATGTCCTTGCCTCAACCAATCTGTAGAATTCTGTTTTCTGATGCTGTTCATCCTCCACCATCACTTGATCAGTATGCTGTCACTTTGACTGGCTTGGTAGGGGGAAAGATTTCCCTTATATACCAAGTCACTAACAAACTGGAAAAACTGGATTTTGAGTCACTACTAGCCTCTGAATCTGATTTACATAATTCACTTACCTATGCTGAAACTGATTGAAAGTTTAGGTGTGAAATAACTCAGTCTATTTTCCCAAGCATTTTGATGCAATCAGAATTTCTCCTTTTAAAATGGGAGATTGTCCTGTAAGAAATCCCACTTGTCCTAGGACACATTGGAATCCCTATCTCCCCTTGGAGAATCTGGAATCCTTCAAGGAGAGATTGGAATTCAGACCCGTTTTGTACAAAAAAACTTGAATTCCAGTCTCCCCTAGGGGAGATTGGAATCCCTATCTCCCCTAGGAGGATTCCAGATTCTCCTAGGGGAGATAGGGATTCCAATCTCCGGAGGATTCTGGATCCCCCTGGATTCCAATCTCCCCTGTGACATATACATGTAGGTTCACCATACTACAGTAACTGTGTGACAGTATATGATAATTTCCAAAGATTTTGGCTGACTGGGCAAGGCTGGAACGCAAGAGTCAGTATATCACTAATACCATTATCAACTTGTGACAGGAATTTTTTTGGTATGGCCACGACCATAGGAATGTAAGGTGTGATCCACCCCCACAGTATGCCAGTTAGTAGGGTGGGCTATTTAGCATGCTCGAGGTGTGGCTCTCCTCAAACACGGGACCTCCATTTTACGTCCTATCCGTGGGACATCCCTAACCAAAACTAGGTACTCATTCACACCTGACTGAAGTGACGAAACTCATATCGTATCAAAACGTGCCTTTCCTAGAAGAGCACAACATTGGGACAGGTCAGGGATTCAAACCCAGACCCCCTTGATTCTTCGCCAAATACTTGAACATTACCAGTCAGTTCCATGTCCCTGTAAAGTATACATGTTGAATCATTTAACTCAAAATTTTGATTAAGAATTCTGATTGTGTCTGTTAATTAGCATAACGTGTCTGCTTCAGTATAATTCCCATAGCTGTCAACTTGGCCATGTGAAAAATCAATTATGGACCTGTCGTAACTTTACGGTTTTGTTAATAACTTTTAAATATCAGAGTTAAAGTGGGGCGGTTCTCTAAATGTCAGTGGTTTGGCTTTAATTAAGACAAGAGAGTTGTGCAGCGAGTATTTAGCATGAAATCTTGAAAGTTCATCTGTGTCGGTAGCAGTCAGTATGAATCAAGGTTGGACAGTGACAATGTAATTTCCAACACAAGAAATTGAAGCCATATTTTTTTTAAAGACTGGAGTTGTACTGTCAAAAAAATTTGTTGTGGTTGAAACTACAGTTTAAACTTGCTTCATAAGTGTCTAAATTTGCAAAATGGATTTTCTTGTTTGTCTTTATCGTAATTATATAAGACCTGTGCACACCAATTTGGTTTCTTTGTCAGATTTTTTTTAAAAATCAGAAGTGTGTGAGAGAAAGAAAAACAAAATGCCTTGACAAGACTTGAAAACTAATCTAAGTGGACCCTTTATTAATTTTTTGTTGTTGTCCGTGTATAGAAAGGCTGGCACTGTTGCAAGAACTTCCCAACGTTTCAGATCGAATCACACTGACTCATACTCACTATCCAGGATTTGATTATACTGCTGCTGTTGTCCCTGCCACAGGGGTCGGCAGCAGTCGGCTAGTGGTACTGAATCACAACACAGGGGTTAAAATCATCTTTATTTCAATATACATGTATATACAAGATGACTCATTGAAGTACACCTAGGCCAGCCCTTTATCTCATTAAGAGGAGGGCGCAAGGCAAGTAAAATGTAACAAGTAACTGTGTGCATCGGACATTAAACTTTCAATTTAATTCTGAAGTTTACCTAGCCTGCACAGTCAATTGTTTTGGTCTCTGTATAGAAACGCTGTACTGTTGCAAGAACTACCCAGGCAAAGCATTCTATGACAAAAACTGGAGTCATGACAGGAGCTTTAATCCTGAAGAGTTTACCTTTACCTGTACAGGTGAGGTCAGCACTACAGGTGGAAATAGGTCACGGGGTCAAGCACACCTACAGATGTCAAACAGTAGACAGAGCAAACAAACGGTGAAGGAAGGAAAACATGGAGCAAACTGATAAAGTGCAGCATGTTGTAGCCTCCATAGCCACTAGCATGCCAAAAACTGGGGGTGTTTCCAGGTGCTGTTTCCATGTTGGTTTTCTAGTTGGATTATATCCGAGGACCAACAAATTGAATTGCTACGGCCCGATGGCCTATTGTTAGCTACAGACAGAGCATGGCTAAGCAAGCTAAGATACAACCTAAAGCAGACTTTGTAAATATTTTTCCAGAGAAATACCCCAGCGTAACCTTAATCTCCAAGCAGATCTTTCGGTGGCTGCAAAAGACAGTATCAAATTGGCCAGGCTATATCCATTGCTCACCTGATGGCTTAGCTAGCCTCCATAGCATGCCAAAAACTGGGGGTTTTGGGGGTCTTCAGGGTCTTTGGGAGCTTTTATGTGCTATTTTCTGATTGCATATAGACCACATAGCCGGCCTGGTTGAATTACCATTTTTTTAACTGGGCTAATCAGAAAACAGCCGAAGACCACCAAACCCCCAGTTCTATAAGCCTGCTACGGAGGCTAATCAGAAAACAGCCGAAGACCACCAAACCCCCAGTTCTATAAGCCTGCTACGGAGGCTACCAATGGCTAATGGACACTCCTCTGGCCGATGAATACTGCCTTGCCACTGTATGATCTGCTTGGAGATTAGTATACCCTAGCATTCAAGTAGCCAGCAGGTCCCCTATATGCAGCATGTAGTCTTTTTAAGCCCATGTTTTCCCTACTGTAGCCTTTCAGTCTCCCATGATAGGAGCAGGCCATACCAATTCTGTTTCTTGGTTCTTAGTACTAAGAAGATACATTAAGTACAGAATAAACAGTGTTTTATATACCTCAGTGGTTTTCAAAAAGCAGACAAACACAGTCACTATACACACACTACAGTAGAATACTGAATAATTTTTTTTTTCACAACTATTCGTTTTTACCTGAGCCAACATTTCGGTGACTGTCTGCCACCTTCGTAATGACTAATAGTATATTCTGGCTATATTCTGTGCACTGGAGCTAGATCGATGTTACATGGTTCACTGTGCACTGAAGCTTGATGTCTGAAAATGTCTAGAATGGACGCCAGGAACCATGAACAAACTTGATATGGCCCAAGTGTACATATAGATTGCATCACAGCCCTACTGTAGTCTGCTAGACTTAACACAAGAAGTCACCGTTCCAAAAGTCCCATCGACCATGTAGCATCAGTCACTGTGGTTTTCAAAAAGCAGAGAAACATACTAAATATAATTCTGTAATTCACTACTTTTGTAGCAAACGTTCACAGTTTGAGAAAAATGGACATGTTCACGGAACTATATATTCACTGTGGCGACAGGTGCAGGAAAAAGAAAGTCCAGGAATTATTTGTTAACTGTAATGATAAGTTCAAGGTACAGAAATGACAGTGAAAAAAGAGACCACAACAGTACAGTGAAAATATCAGGAATTACAGTAATTATACACACTTTGGAGAATAGATCATTAGATGCCAAGAACCATGAACTAACTTGATATGGCCCAAGTGTACATATACATTGCATCATAGCCAGACTTCACAACACAAGAAGTCACCGTTCCAAAACACCCACCAACCATGTAGCATCACTGTTTGTATAGACACGCTGTTCGTCAAACCCACTGCACAAACACAAAAAAACGGCTTTAAACATTCCTGCGCCCAACTCCGTAACCGCTAGCAACAGCCAAAAACCGTAAAAATCCTTCAGAGCTGCCCGAAACCCCCACCTCGGACCTATGTGGGTACGTATACTGTGTCAACATACTGGTAGGGTAAAGAATTTTTATAGACTGTGGCAAGGTGTGGTGTTAGTGGCAGGATACGGGTGTTTGAACAAGACCCACTCTTCTCCGAAAAGCTGACAGAAGTTGTGCAAAGGAGTCACGATTCTTGAGATCCGTGGGGGACTTACTTTAGTTGTGTACTCTTGGGGCGGATGTTAACTTGAATGTGCGCACTTTTTTTGTCAAGTTTACCTGCAAGAAGGATTGCCAGTTTGTGGCTGCTATACTGGCTTCGGTGGATGCTCCTTTATTCGGAAGACTACCTTCAAAGTTTCTGTGGGATTTGTCTCCAAATTTTCGGTGGTGACGATAAGTCGTAATTCCGAAGACGTGTGACGTTTGTCTTGGCCTTGGAGTCTTCAGCTCACTTTGCAAGCCGAGGATTCTTACTGTGGCATGGCTATTTCTCGCCGTGATTGTTTCTCCTTTTGAAGATTGTCATAATTCCGAAGACGTGTGGCGTTTGTCTTGTCTTCAGCTCACTTTGCAAGCCGAGGATTCTTAGTGTGACTACTTCAATTCTTGCTGTGATCGTTGCTCCTTTTGAAGATTGATAAGGAAGGAAAGACTGTGAAAGTTTAGGAGGGGGAATTTCACGGACAAGTCCAAGATTAAGAAGGACTGTAACTGTTTTGATTTTATCACTTTGGGAGCCGAGGATTCTTACTGTGGCTACTTCTTGCCGTGATTGTTGCTCCTTTTGAGGATCTTAAGAAAGGAAGGACTGTGAAAGTTTCTGAGTAAGGATTTCACGGACAAGTCCAAGATTAAGAAAGACTGTAACTGTTGTGATTTTATCCATCGATGGAGGACTATACTTACCTTCAGGCCTTGCTAGCAGGCGACCTGTCACGGTTACCAAGGTTACGGTAAGATAAGGGCAATGCCGTCAGTTTTGCTGACATCTGAAACATTTTGATTCTCATGTGTACTGTTACTGTATCTTTGCCTGTCCACTATACTTTGTAAACATACATGTAGGGGGTTGCGTTTCTACCTTATATTGAAACTTTGAAACTTTATTTGAATAACGATTCGTCTTCCTGGTATTCACACACATTAGGCTATGACAAGAAATTATTTCCTTAAAACCAGCAAATTAAATTGTTGTGGCTTTACATAGTACTAGAAACTAGTACTAGAAAATAGCCCTTAAATGTGACCATATTCCACATTTCCCCATAACATATTCCCTGATTCTGTCCATCTGCCACACTGTCTCCTGCTACCCATTCCTTCCTTCCATCCCTCCAGCAGCCTTGAGACTAAAATGGGGCGCACCTCAAACCTGCAACACATTCTCTCCTTCTTTCCATCCAGCAAACCTGAAGGAAGAATTAAATGTACACTGAGCTGTATCTCTCCTGTAACACATTCTTTTCCTTCTGTCCATCCAACACACCTGAAGAATTTAATGTACACTGAGCTGTAACTCTCCTCTACACATTCTCTCCCTCTCTCCATCTAGCACACCTGAAGGAAGAATTGAATCTACACTAAGCTGTATCTCTCCTGTAATCCATTCTCTCATTCTCTCCAACATACCTGTTGTACACTGTATTCTATCTCTCCCGTGACACATTCTCACCTTCTGTCCATCTAACAATGCTATATCTTAAGAACTGATTGTACAGTGAGCTATATCTCTCCTGTAAAACATTCTCTCCTTCTTTTCATCTAGCACATGTGAAGGAAGAATTGACTGTACACTGAGCTGTATCTCTCCTCTACACATTCTCTTCCTCCCTCCATTCAGTACACCAGAACAAAGAATTATACAGTATTGGTAGTTACATGTTTTAAGTTAAAAGTTTAGATCCAACACAAAAAAAAAGTTCTCAGGAGTACTGAGGAAGACCGGAGAGGCTGGTCAAAAGCTCTTGGTGAGAGAACTGCTTTGTGTTGGATCTTAAGTTTTAACTTTAAACCTGAAGGAAGAATTGTATGTACACTGAGCAGTATCTCTCCTGTAGCCCATTCTCTCATTCCCTCCATCCAGCGTACACTGTATTTTATCTCTCCTATAACCCATTCCCTCCTTCCCTCCCTCCAGCACCCTTGAGACCAAGATGGGGCGCACCCTGAACCTGTCCCACCTGTCCTTTGGCACACCTGTTAACGACAAGCATACAATGAGCTGTATCTCTCCTGTAACACATTCTCTCGTTCCCTCCATCCAGCGTACACTGTATTTTATCTCTCCTATAACCCATTCCCTCCTTCCCTCCCTCCAGCACCCTTGAGACCAAGATGGGGCGCACCCTGAACCTGTCCCACCTGTCGGACGAGGAGGCTGCCCAGGTGCTGAAGGTTGTTCAGAGGGACTTCGAGCTACGCAGGAGGGAGAAGGAAAGACTCAGGTGAGATGACATACCTGCACATACCTGCACACGCCTGTACTCACCTGTATGAACTTAAGAAGGATGTCAGTCACTCTGTGTGTGTATACATGTGTGTGTATGTGTCACTGTGTGTTGTGTGTGTGTGTGTGTGTGTGTGTGTGTGTGTGTGTGCATGTGTGGATAGTGTTCAGCACCAAGGACAGGACTGGTATATTTGTGTGTGTGTGTGTGTGTGTGTGTGTGTGTGTGTGTGTGTGTGTGTGTGTGAGTGCATGCATGTTTTTGTGTGCCTGTGTGTGTGTGTGTGTGTGTATGTGTGTGTGTTTGTGTGTGTGTGTGCGTGTGTGTTTCTTTATGTGTGCGTGTGTGTGTGTGTGTATAGATAGTATTTGGCACCAAAGATAGGTGTATTTGTGTGTGTGTACATGGACAGTGAATCTGATGAATTTTAGAAAAGGAAAGACATTTATCATCAAACATAATATCACATAAGAATACAGTGACATACGCTTGGCATGTAGCTTGTAGGAGTAGTAGATGTACGTCACAAAACAGTAACAGTGTTTTTATAAAGCATAAGGTCAGTGTGTTCACATGACTAGGCACTAATCATCTGTAGAACGCAGCGTGACCTGGAGGTCATAAGGTCAGCAGGTCAAGTGACTGTTCCCTGGAGGATTGTGATTGGTCAACGATGAAACCTGACACCACCTGGGTCAAATTTCATGTAAAATGTTAATAACCTGTCAAGAAAGTTGTAAATATTATCAAACTTTTCAAGAGATAGAAACAACAGAAAATGAGTAACATTTTGTTCACTTTATGCTGACTCTTTAGTCATTATATTATTATGCTCTGATTCTTGAAGCGTAGACTCAGATAAAAGCCACTGTAAGTTATTTCTGGCCTGTAGGGGAAGTAATTATAACAGCCTCCAGTTTAATTCCGGACTTCCAGTTTAATTCCGGACTGGCCTCCCATATCTCAGCCACCTTACGCCCTGATGGGCTAAAATTGCAAACTATAGGTAAAAATGATGTAAGAAATACGTAGCCACCATCGATTGCCCCCTGGGGAATAATCTAAAGTTGCAACATTATGCATAATTATGCATAATTATGCATAATTATGCATAAGGTTTTGAAGGTTATGCATAATTATGCATAATGGTCAAGGGTTATGCATAATTCTTCAAACAGTTATGCATAATTGTTCATAAGGCTTGCTAGGGTTATGCATAATTATTGCATAACTGTTACTCAGGGTTATGCATAATTATGCATAATTATGCATAAGTGTTTTTAGGGTTATGCATAAATATGCATGATAGTTCTTAGTGCGTAATAATACACATGGGATTTTCCAAGTTACACCGTGGTTTTGCTGTCATATCATTGTTATGCTTGCAAAGTTAGATTGTGCCAGCCATGTTTGCAGCTGCAACAGCTCAAAGACCCTGTTTTCTCCTCATCCTCAGTCCCGTTACGTAGCAGGAAGCTTAAGCCGTCTGACCGTCCACAAAAGTCCCAATTTACATATGGGCAAAAACCTGACAGTATGGAAACTCTGTACATGCAGTACAAAAGTGCACGAAAACTGTACATCAACTTTTACCTAATAGTATGACATTGTGTAAATCTGACGACTACTCCAAGGAGCTTATAATGAGACCCTCTCAACGGTTTCGCCCCTTAAGGTACAAAATGTAAGTGGTGGGGGTATAACTGAATTTTGACGGCAACTGATGACCATGTCACCTGGTCCTTATTTGCATTCGCCTTCATTCAAAAATATGAATTTGCCCATGAGTCAACACTGTCCAGTGAGACTTAAATAGTTTGCATTTGTCCTGGTATCTGTATCTGTATAGCCGGTATAACCGCCTTTTGGCGTAACACACCAGTTGTCTCTAACATGTGGTAAAGATGCCATCAGGAATATTTCACAGGTGTGACATTGGGCGGGATCCCAGAGTCTAGGTTGTTAATCGCTATGATGAAGGGTGTTGCCTGTTGGTAACAGAATTCCCCCGAGGTGTGCCTGCAAGAATGGCTTTAGCTGCAGAGATGCTCATTCCCCAATTCTCGCATTGAACACAATATTTTTGCTCAGGTAACTGTTCAGACGCCGCTATAAGTCGTGTCTTATCCCTACGCATGACAAACTGTGGAGGAGACCGCCATGGCCTATTGTATTAAAGGCACACGTGAGGTCCACAAATGTAACCTGCACGTCCATTTTGGGAGAACTTTTAATTGATTTAGATTTTTGACAATAATCCAACATGCCCAGTTTTTGTATGCTCACTTGAGCACACAGTTNCTCCTGTAACACATTCTCTCGTTCCCTCCATCCAGCGTACACTGTATTTTATCTCTCCATAACCCATTCCCTCCTTCCCTCCCTCCAGCACCCTTGAGACCAAGATGGGGCGCACCTTGAACCTGTCCCACCTGTCGGACGAGGAGGCTGCCCAGGTGTTGAAGGTCGTGCAGCGGGACTTCGAGCTTCGCAGGAGGGAGAAGGAAAGACTCAGGTGAGATGACATACCTGCACATACCTGCACATGCCTGTACTCACCTGTAAGAACTTAAGAAGGATGTCAGTCACTTTGTGTGTGTATACATGTGTGTGTATGTGTCACTGTGTGTTGTGTGTGTGTGTGTGTGTGCATGTGTGGATAGTGTTCAGCACCAAGGACAGGACTGGTATATTTGTGTGTGTGTGTGTGTGTGTTTGTGTGTGTGTGTGTGTGAGTGCATGCATGTTTTTGTGTGCCTGTGTGTGTGTGTGTGTGTGTTTGTGTGTGTGTGTGTGCGTGTGTGTTTCTTTATGTGTGCGTGTGTGTGTGTGTGTGTAGATAGTATTTGGCACCAAAGATAGGTGTATTTGTGTGTGTGTACATGGACAGTAAATCTGATGAATTTTAGAAAAGGAAAGACATTTAGCATCAAACATAATATCACATAAGAGTACAGTGACATACACTTGGCATGTAGCTTGTAGGAGTAGTAAATGTAGGTCACAAAACAGTATTAAAAAAAACTGTGTTTTTATAAAGCATAAGGTCAGTGTGTTTGTTTGTTTGTTTGTTTGTTTATTCGATCTCCATTAGATTTACATGAAATCTATTCTTCCTGGAGTCGCAAAATTACAATGAAATAAATGTACAGAACAGAACAAAACAATGTACATGAAAGTAAAACCAACATAACAAAAGGTGTGAGTCTTAATCAAAAAAATAACATAACGCACACAACATTAACTGAAAACTGAACTTAAGTGAACGGGGAGAGGTCAGAGGTCATGGATGATCACATGACTAGGTACTAATAATGTGTAGAACGCAGCATGACCTGGAGGTCATAAGGTCAGCAGGTCAAGTGACTGTTCCCTGGAGGGTTGTGATTGGTCGATGATGAAACCTGACACCACCTGGGTCAAATTTCATGTAAAATGTTAATAACCTGTCACGAAAGTTGTCAAAAAACTTTCAGAGATGGAAACAACAGAAAATGACAAATATTTTTTATCATCTTATTTTGACTCTTATATCGTAATGCTTTGATTCTTAAACAGCAGACTCAGATAAAAGCCAATGTAAGTTATTTCTGGCCTATAGAGGAAGCAATTATATGAATAATGACTGGATAGGCAATTTCTTATGTAAGTCATTCTGACAATTTTAGATATATGGGATCATGTTTCAACAAAATTTGACCTGATTTGTCATCATACAGTTAAATTTGTTGCAGCTGTATATTAATGGTTGACTGCTACATTAAGTATAACCTACTAGGAAGTTAGAAATTAAGTCTCCATGTCATGGTTCATACAGATTGTTTTTTTGTATAAAGCTTTATCAGTGAAAGAGTAAGTTGTAATAAAATATGTTTCACAGTATATCCTAGAACCAGTATACCGGTATGTGTGTGTAGAACTTTGAGGGCCACTACGTAAGGGCCACTTGGCCATTTTGTATATACCAGGGTATCCCCTTTTTGGTTTTCCCTTAGGCCACACCAATTTAATTTCTTGGTTAACGGATCCGCCCACTTCATTTTTTTCTGATTTGCAAATAAAAATAAAAATTCAGAATCAACTGCAAAATGCTCATATTTTGCCCTGAACAGTTGAAAACAGTCCTTTTCATCCTAGTTGTTACAGTTATTCCACCTTTCAATGCATTGGTATCATTAAAAGTTCAAAATTCACTGATAAATTTTGAACCAGCCTGGTGTGTTGACTTCATGGCTTCTTTCGTACCATTTTGGGCCATAATAGGTGGTCCTAGGCCTGTTTTTTTTTTTTCGCCCGCCCGCTCCATTTTTTTCTAGAAGAATCCGTTAACCAAGAAACTAAATTGGTGTGGCCTTAGATAATTTTTTGTAATTGGACAGTCACAATAATTCTGTCTATATGGACCACCTATCCACACAGACAAGATTTTATCAGTCCCCTCAGTGGTCTTGTCATTGGTAGTTAGACTTCAGATATTGTGTTTTTGTTTTGTTTTTTGTTTGTTTCGCATAACCGGTAAACCGCCTTTAGGCGTAACACACCAGTTTTGTACATGTGCGTACATGTACAAGCTGTGTAAGACCGTACTGTAAGGAAGATCCCCTACTCTTTTTGATAAGTGCGGTGGGTTCTTTAACGAGCGTGGGGTGTGGCTCTCCCAAACACGGGACCTCCATTTAACGTCCTATCCGAGGGACATCCCTAACCGAAGCTAGGTACTCATTTCCACCTGAGTAAAGTGAGGAAAGTCGTGTAAAGTGCCTTTCCCAAGGGCACAAGATCGGTGACATGGGCAGGGTTTGAACCCGCGACCTCTCAGGTGTGAGCCGAACGCGCTACCGACTGCGCCACACTTTTTGCCCACCTGTTTATTCACCATGCGTCCCTGGTATGGCTGTTGAACCTGTAAATCTTGTGTGAGAATGTGAGATCATGACAGCGAGCTTGTGTTTACAAAGGAACTACTCAGACAGAGTTGAAGAAGTTGTCACTTGTCT